ATGTATTACCTATAGTTAGCTATTACTTACAGTTACATTTTTTAAATATATAAATAACAAAATTATCTTATTTTATACATATTCTTACGTTATTTAATATATAAATAATAAATGTCAAACGAGTCAACTAACAAACCGAATTTACAAGATGAAAAACATACTAAAAAAAAAGTCAATATTTTACCAAAATAATAATATCTATTATCACTGTTATATAAATGTATTACCTATAGTTAGCTATTACTTACAGTTACATTTTTTAAATATATAAATAACAAATTATCTTATTTTTATACATATTCTTACGTTATTTAATATATAAATAATAAATGTCAAACGAGTTAACTAACAAACCGAATTTACAAGATGAATTTTAGTATATTTGGACTTGTTTATTAAAATTTTAATGAGTTCGAGCTCAAATGCAAAACAAAATTTAACGAACCGAGTTTAAACGAGCTTTTATTGAGTCAAGTTTGAATCTGTTCACGAACGGCTCTATTAATTTGTAACCTTAGTTTTGACCAAATCTCCTATGTAATTATACTAAACTTGTAAATCTTATTGTCTTGTTTTTGAATCTTAGGAAAAGTAAATATAATTTACCTACATTAAAATTGATAACAACATATCTAAAATCAACTCAATTGTAAAATAATAAAATGGATCAACCATAATTCCAATTGAAAGATGGACTTGCTAAAAAAAATTAATACAAAAAATTAATTAGTACTTCTGTGTCTCAAAAAATATAAAAATCAGTTTCATATAATATAAAAATAAATAAAAAATGTCACAATCAAAATTTTGAGATATTTACCAATCAATTCCATCTCACGAACAAGTACTCCAATTAGTCTTAAATTTTTTCTATTGATCTGTTAAGTCCTATTAGTGGAGAGTTTTTTCTGTGTGGTCCTATTTTTTATTTTGGTAGTGTTTTTGTGGATAACTTTACCCTTTTATTAATGTGACATGTATTAATGTGACACTCCAAAAAAATTAAAAATTCCTTAGTATACTTTTCCTAAATGTGCCAACATGACGGATATGATGTGACACTCTAAAACTTTTACTCTAAAAAAAAGAAAGGCTGTGTTTGGTGTGGAGTCTGTTTGGTGTGGAGTTTTAATCATGACTCCACACCTATATTTGAGTATGGTGTTTGTTATAACTTTCAAAATTTAATTTCACACCACTTTTGAAAACACGTTTCAAGCAACATTTGAATTTTGAAATTTGGCCTATTCGGTCATCCTTCCAAACGTCCGGCAAGTTGACCGAGACAGTGCATTTTTTTTGGCAGTTGGCACATGTTATTTTTTATGTTTGAAATAAAAAAAAAATGTTCCGAATTTTTTTAAATTTTTTATGAGTTTTGAATAGAATTTTGGATTGTGTATTTAGTTATAAGTTGTAAGTTTTTTAATCAAATATCATATTTCATATCAATTATTCCAAACTCAATTCAAAACTCATAATCAAACAAATTTTCCACACTCATATTATAATTTCAAAACTCATAAACTCAAAATAGAATTCTATTCTCAAATCATAATTCTAAAATTCTGCCAAACGCAATACTTTTCCCTAATGTGACAATGTGGCCGACATGATGTGACCCTTTAAAAAAAATAAAATCTCCTTAGTTAGTGTACTTTTCTCAAACGTGACAATGTGACAAATATGATGTAACACTTAAAAAATTAAAAACTCATTAGTGTACTTTTCCCAAACGTGACATTTGACTCTCCAACGTGATAGATATGATGTGACACTCTAAAAATATTATAAACTTTTTAATACATTTTTTCTAAATGTAACACTCTAACGTGACGAGTATGATGTGATGTTAAAAAATTCTTTAATGTGTTTTTTTCCAAAATGACACTTCAATATGGTGAACAAATGAATCATTACACATCTAAAAAAACTAAATAACCAAACCAAACCAAACCAAACCAAACCAAACCAAACCAAGCCTAGCCTTAAGTCTCATCAAATGGGGTCGGTTACATGAATCCTTCTTCTCCACGCGGCCCTATCAAAGGCTATTTCATTAGTCAAATTAAGTAGATTCATATCTTTATTTAAAACGCTAGTCAACGTTAATCTAGGCCTACCCTGTCCCCTAACACTTCCATCTACCGTTACAGCATCGCATCTCTTCACCACTGCCTCTGTTGATCTCCGTTGAATATGACCAAACCATCTCAAACGATTCTCTCTCAACTTATCTTCTGTCGGTGCTACTCCTGCCCATTTCCGAATACACTCATTCATAATCCTGTCTTGTCTAGTCTTACCGCACATCCACCTTAGCATCCTCATCTCAGTCACACTCATCTTATCTACATGTTGTTTCTTGATTGCCCAACACTCAGTCCTATACAACATAGCTGGTCTAATAGCCGTTCTATAAAACTTACCTTTTAGTCTAGTGGGTATTCGTTTATCGCACAATACCCCAGACGCACTTCTCTACTTACACCATCCCGCCTGAATCCTATGGGCCACATCTGCATCAATCTCTCCCGCTGTTGTGATAATCGACCCTAAATAACGAAAATGTTCACTCTTAGGCAATTCTAAATTCTCAATCTTCACTTCTCCTCTGCTTTCATTGTTACTGTTACTAAATTTACACTCCATGTATTCTGTCTTAGTTCTGCTTATCCGGAATCCTTTAGATTCAAGAGTTTTTCTCCAAATCTCTAACTTTGTGTTAACTCCTTTTCTAGTTTCATCCACTAGCACAATATCGTCTGCAAAAAGCATGCACCATGGCACGTCATCTTGCATATTTATCGTCAACTCGTCCATAATTAAAGCAAAAAGATAAGGACTTAAGGTAGATCATTGGTATAACCCTACAGTGATAGGAAATTCATTTGTCTCTCCAGCTGGCGATCTAATAGTGGTCACCACCCCTTCATACATGTCCCTAATCACATCAATGTAACCTTTTGTCACCCATTTCTTCTCTAACACCCACCATATTATATCTCGGGGCACTCTGTCATATGCTTTCTCAAAGTCGATAAACACCATATGAATGTCTCTTTTCTTTTCTTTATACTTTTCTATTACTCTCCTCAAAAGATAGATCGCTTCCATTGTTGACCTACCAGTCATAAATCCAAATTGATTCCCTGACACCTCTGTTATATTTCGCAATCGGCGTTCCATCACCCTCTCCCACACTTTCATTATATGACACATTAGCTTGATTCCTCTATAGTTGTTACAATTCTGGACATCACCTTTATTCTTATAGATTGATACTAAAATACTCTTCCTCCACTCATCTGACATGTTCCTAGTCAACAAAATTTTGCTAAACAATCTAGTCAACCAACCAACTCCCTTTTTACCCAAACACTTCCAAGCTTCAATAGGGATATCATCGGGTCCTAAAGCCTTATTTGATTTCATCTTCTTAAGTGCAATTTCCACTTCAAAGTTCCTGATCCTGCGATAGAACCTATAGTCTTGGTTTATCATGTTACTAGCTATTTCTTCCCTTATTGTCGTACCTCCATGTTCCTCATTTAATAGTTTCTCAAAATAATTCTTCCATCTTTCCTTAATCTCATCATCCTTCACCAATACCTTAGAATCCTCACTCTTGATGTACTTTATTTGATTAAAATCTCTTGTTTTCCTCTTTCGTATCTTAGCAAGTTTGTATACCCTCTTCTCTCCCTCCTTACTATCTAGTCTAGTGTATAGGTCATCATATACTTTCAACTTGGTCTCTCTCACTACTTTCTTGACCTCCTTATTAGCCAATCTAAAACCCTTAAGGTTTTCCTCAGTTCTATCCTTCTGCCACTTTTTAAAGCACTCTTTTTTTGCCTTAACTACCGCTTGAACCTCTTCTCTCCACCACCAAGTTTTCCTAGAGCTGGGTCTCGTTCCTTTCGACTCTCCAAGCACTTCCCTTGAGATTCTCCTCATACAATTGGCTATCGAGTTCCACATAGTGTTAGCATCACCTTCTAAGTCCTAAGTACCTTCCTTATCCATTCAATTCTTAAATATTTCTAGTTTATCCCCTTTTAGGTCCCACCATCTCGTCCTACTACGCCTACCATCCTTCTTAGCTTGGTATTGCCCTCTAAAACATAAATCTAGTACCAAAATCCTATGTTGAGAGATTAGACTCTCTCCAGGAATCACCTTACAATCATTGCATTTTAGGCGGTCCACTTTTCTCACTAATAAGTAATCTATTTGACTCTTAACTAATCCACTCTTAAAGATTATCAAATGTTCCTCCCTCTTCTTATACATAGTATTAGCCACCACTAGGTCAGAAACCAAAGCAAAATCTAAGATACTCTCTCCAGCCTCATTTTTGTCACCAAAACCGTACCCCACCATGCACCCTTTCATAACCTAGTTTATCTATACCCACATGACCATTAAAATCTCCACCTATAACCAAGTTCTCTCCTACGGGTATTTCCTGTAAGATCTCATCCATTTACTCTCAAAAATCCCTCTGAGTCTGATCATCTAACCCTACTTGAGGGGCGTATGCGCTAATAATGTTCACTATATTCCTTCCAATAATTAGTTGAACTAACATAATCCTATCTCCTTTCCTTGTGACCGCCACTACAATTTTCACAAGACCCTTGACAATTATGATTCATACCCTATTCCTGCATCTATCCTTACCACTATAATATAGTTTAAAACTGGTATCCTTAATTTCCCTAACTTTCTATCCCGTTCACTTAATTTCTTGTATGCAAATAGATCACAATAAAAAATATAGATCACAATAAAAAATATAAAACTATATAAATTACAAATCCAAAATATAAGACTTATTTAATCAATCTCTCAAAATTCACCTTCAATATACTCTTCATTTGTTACATTGTCATTTCCCCCACAAAGCAAGAAAACTCTATTTCGCAATTTTGCACCACCCACTAAATAACCTCAAATTCGAAAAGTTCACTTTCAAAATTAAAAACAAAGATAAATTAAACAATAGACAACAAGAAACAATATCACCTTTGGATTGATAATATTAGCCATCAATACAAGCAGTTTCTCACACTACCACCTACTTCTACACACATGCCCAAAAATATGAACATATACAACTCATTAGAAGTTTCAATTCCAATAAGACCTCAAAATTGCATTCATTACGATTTGTTGAGCGTTCGGTTTTTAATTTTAATTCGAAATTTGTGGGAAGAACTTGCTTCCGATGCGTCAGCTCGGCTATCCATCATCTTTGTCACTAAATTCGATCCACCACCGGTGTCGCCCGCATTCAATTGCACAATTTGTTCCTTACCTTGAATCTCCACCGATGATGATTTAGCCTCTTGACTCACCATTGTTGTTAACCTAGTTTCAAATTCAACTTTCTTTGCTTCCTCACCAAACATTACCAATTTTGTTTGGGGTTTACCTTTCGTATTTTGCAAATCTACCAAAGAAGATACCTTTGCCATCTCTTTTTTCTTCTGCTTCTTCTCCTTCTTCAACCGTTTCTGTTCTAAATACTCTGGATCGTCTCGGCGACCTTTGCGGTCATCCCGTTTCCGTTTCTTCTCCTTGTCTTTCTTCTTTGCTCTCTCCTTCCCATGCGAATGAGTGTCCAATGAAACACTATCAACACCGTGTCTTGTGACAGAAAGGGTTTGAAGACTAACATATTTTTGCATTTTAGTCGTCCCTCCGTTATCCTTTGCGATACTTGGTGAAGATCGATCATCAGTTTGAGGGAGCGTGGAAACTTTGCTAGAGTCTGCAGTGCACTGGAGTTCCTTTCCGAGTTCATCACCGCTCGCAAGTTTGGCACTGCCAATGCTGGCAGTCATCCGGGAACCAGGATCATGACACGAGTTGACTTCTTCAAGATTTTGATTGCTTACGCTCACAGCCTCAACAAAATTTCTTTGGGGTGCGTCCACAGAAATAGAACTGCTCGGCCCATGATCAGCATCATTATGCCCGCCTAGAGATTTTTCAACCGTTGCATTATCAACATCTTCAGCTCTACTTGATGCCACAGATTGTTTGACCCGAATCTTAACCACTGGTTTCCTCCGCTCATGACTGTTTGAAACAGTGTCAGCTTCCTTGGAAGCTTCCGGAATAACTAAACCGTCATGTGAGAAGTTAGGAGTATGCACGAGAGGATCTGCAGTAGGCTCTAGATGTGATGGGTTAAGAATGTCCACAGTGGGCTCAGGTTGTGATACGTTAAGAATGTCCACATTGGGCTCAGGTTGTGTTAGGTTAATAATGTCCACAGTGGGCTCAGGTTGTGATAGGTTAGACATGTCTGCAGTAGGGTCTGGACATGGGAAGTCAGGGATGTCCATAGTATGGTACGTATTTGGTGATGGGTTAGAGATGTCCACAGTAGGCTCCATGTGTAATATATTAGGGGCATCCATGGGAGGCTCCACAGGCTTTGATTGCTTAACAAGAGCTGCAAAAATATTTTTCAGTTCACTGCAAGTCTCTGCATGGCCCATTCGCATAGTTTCATCTCTTGGGACTCCGTAAAGTGTCGGGGGCCTGAAAAAAGATCAGAGTTCAAGTTTAGGAACATTGATGCAGAAGTAAAACACTGGCATCTACAACCACCATCGATTAAACAACACTTCACTTTACCTTACTGACGCCAGTTTTGGAAAAGTAAAACAATATCAACAAACGATTATATATATATAACTATATATGTCTACACATTTCATCTGAATGTTAAAATCTAGGCCTTCAATACTCTTCAGAATAAATTCATTTACAGATGTTTAAAGAAAACAAATATTGTTAAAATACACAATTTCTTCTTTCACTACGTAAAATGTGTTACATTGGAGTTATATAATGTAAAACTATAAACAATGTAGTCTTACATTGTGGGTTTCACATAAGCATTTAGAATGCTCTTTCCAATTTTTTTGGAATTATAAAATAAACCTTGGGACGACTCAAATGATGATAAAAAGAGCAATTATGGACCAATATGGTGAATCGACACCGACTTCCGAATATAATAAGTTATTTCACTAGTTACAATCAACCATGACCAAAGAAACATTATCATAAAGTTATGAATTATCAAATCACTGAAATACCTCAATAAAAATGTTGAGTTGTAGATATTTTAGTATTTTGAGGGTAATGATAGTTTGATTACCTTCCTGAAAGGACTTGTAACACGCAAAACAAATAGTGTCGAAGATTAACATTGTTGAATGCCATAGGACTTTCAAGCAGACGGAGTAAAGACACAAGAGTTTCACTCTTTATATCGTCATCAGAATCAGATCCACTTCTTATCTGGCATAGACGCGTAACATGGTGACCCAACTTCGCCTGCCCTGTAATCGAGAACCAAAATTTTGGCAAGAATAGAACAAAGCAACTCATTGGTAAGGGGCAATTGAACCAGGGGAAAGAAGATTCATCTAATTAAAGAGAGTAGAGTAATACCTCTCAAGGATGGCTCTTCTTCTAAGTATTTAATGAACAACATTAATGCCACATTAATGCCTTTACAGTGGAACTCAAGATCAAGGAGAGCTTCACTTGCTTCAATTCTGACTTGCCACATTGTCTTTAAATCCCGAAATGGTTTGATTAGTTCAATCACACGATCCTGAACCAGAAACAGAGGTAAGAAGTAAAAAACCATTTTGCAAGTATTGTGAGAGGAAGGGGAAAATACTTACAAGAGGGATGAATTCAGAAAGCTTCAGTGCGACTTGAGTTAATGTTCGGATGCAGCTGATCATCAAGATACCATTGTAGCTTGGCATAAGCCTGGTACATGCCATTCCATATACATGCAATCAATTACAGGTATAAGTTGATATAATTCATTCTATCCATTACTCAGAGAGTGTATACACCTGTCAAATTGCAAAAGCCGATCGATGCGCTTGAGAAGAGACGATAAAAAGGGAATACTCTGCAACAGGATTTAAGAGCACCAAAAAAAGTTAGAAGCAAGGTTTTAAATAAAAAGATGGAGCTTTCACTGTCTCATGAGTCATGACACTATAATTGCGAACATGTTTTCATAACTACTTGCCGTTGGCATTTATAAAAATGTAGATAGATGAGTGGAAACTATTTATTAACAAAATTATTAGGTGAAAGAACAAAACTTTTGGATTTTCTTTTGCAAAGTAGAACAAAGGCACAAGCCCTGTAAATACAACTTCTTTGTAGCACTCATAGATTCAAAACAAGCATAATCTATGCTTCAATAGAAACAGAAGCTGAAATGAGTGCAGAAAAACACTTGAAGCCTCTCTGTATTGAATCAATCGAAATCTTCTCATCTTAGACTCGTTGAGATGGTTACTATGCAATGGGTTGTGGACTTTCAATTTTGCAGTCTCCATCTCAGCTTTTATTAAGCAGCCCATTTCTGCAAATCTTGATTCGTCAGTGACACGTACTGATTTATCGTTCAAAATCAAAATAGCAGATGGGCTCTCCCTTAACTAGAGTCTATTGATGAAATGCTATGAACAACGACCATTCCCTCGTGGCGTACCAACTAAGAAGCACGGACACTTCTAAGAAGGTAACGTATCCGTGTCGTATCCGTGTCGGACACCGACACTCTTTGGACACTTTCCCGACACGTGTCCGACACTCTTTAAAACGTGTCCTATTTTTTAAAGACCCGGACACTCTTTGGACACTTGGAGAATACATGTGTATCTCTTAAACACACGTGTCTATCAATTAGACACATGTGAAACCAATTATAAGTTTGAACAAAACAACTTAAGATACAATAATAAAACAAAAATCATATAAATTCATAAGAATTATTGTCATATTTAATATTTTTATTATCTTTGAATGATATATTCATATATATAACATATAATAAATATATAAAATTATATATTTCATGCGTGTCCCCCGCGTGTCGTGTCCTGCATTTTTTGAAAATTAGCGTGTCGGCGTGTCCGTGTCGTATCCGTGTCGTGTCACGTGTCCGTGTCCATGCTTCTTAGTAGTAATAGGTTATTAGCAGGTCAAATACACAAAAAGCTCCCCAAAAAAGACATAAGTGAGCTTCCACAAATAAATTGCAAGTTTTAGACTTGTAGAACTTAAAAATTGAAAAAGCCTAATGACGAAGAATTAACAGATGTAAATCACATTATTTTGATTTTTAATCATCAGTTCCTAAATCATTTTTCTTCAAACGTTCAAGTTTTGTGTCTAAGGGATGGAAAGTAGCTTGCCTATGCTTCTCAAGTGTGTCTTGTTTAAAAATCCCACTCTCAAGGCCTGCTTGTCGGGTGTTGGTGTCCAATATGGTCACTATCAAGAGAAGTATTTATTAGTGCTTGAGGGTAGTTTAGTCTTTTTCTTATTATTAGAGGATTATTGATTGTTAAGCACCTTTTTTTTTGCATTATTTTTTGGGTTAATGACATATTAACAGCGTGATGAGAATTTTCCTTTATCCTCATTGAGTCATTGTAATTTCAATCTTTGTAAACATGGTATTAAAGCAATAAGAAATTTCTGTGTGTCCACATCTTATTTGCAATTTCATCGACCAACTGTGAAACACTAGTTGTTACTGAAAACTTTAGCATCATAGTTTAACTGCCAATTGATGAATATTTAAAAGTGAATAGTGATTCTATTAGTTTTTGGTATTATTGCACTTTTATTATGTTAATTTGGTCAATTTATGCTTATTTGTGAATTTAATGAATTAATTCAAATTTATAGGAAAAATTTGACAATTAAAATGATGATTGACCAAGAAAAGACAAAAGGCTCTGTTACATTTCGTGGGTGGAAGCCAACAGTAATGAAGATAACAAAAATCTGATATTGCAAAGATTTTTTTCAAGAAGCATAAGCGGAAGCAAAAGCTACAAATTATCAAGTAGCTAGAGGGATGCTGTTCAAAATCAGTGAAAAAAATAGATCACAGACCTGTTGCCCAAATTTAAGTTCTCCGATGGACTGCACTAAGGCAGCAAGCCAGAACACGTCAGAATAGGGATTCCCATTGTTATCATTATACTGTACGACAGTGAAAGTAAAATTAAAAATGGAAGGCGAGAAAGGAAGAAAACTTGAACATAATAAGGACACAAAATGAGCACAATTCTACAAACAATTTTTTTCCCTTTTTACTTTCCCCTAAAAAGAGAACCAGATAAATAGCTAGTTTATTTATTTATATATAAGTGCAACATGAAGTAAAGTAAGGAATTGACAACTTCTATCGTAGGAAAGGAATATGACAAAAAGACAGAACTTTTTTAGTAAGAAAGCAAGTATTACAAGTAGCATTATATGCATGCATTTGTGGAGCTTTATCTTCCCAATCTTGCAATTTAAGTAGAAACATTTAGATAATAATAATATACATGATTTTCTTATATAATATGCATAAAGGAGATACAAAAATTTTAATATGTTACTGCCTCTGTGTCCTTTTAAAGGATTTGTCGTGGTAGCATGTCTGTAGCTCTCACGTCTGTGCTACATAAGCTAGAGGGCATGTTTCCTGTGCTTCTACCCCAATTTTTTAATCCTTAATTGTCTTAAGTATTAGCCTCATTATTTTTAGCTAATTATGTGTAATTAAATTTGTTCATTGGAATTTTAAATGAGCCCTTGATGTTAAAAATCACTTTTCTGTAACCACAGGTCATGTTGGTGAGACATTCAAGAAGTGTTTGACATGTTTGAAGGGGTCACTGAGAAGTTTGAGTTTCCATCATTTTTGCAAATCCTCTTGACAAATGCAAGCTTCATAACATATAGCACGGAGTTAAAGATCCCTCAGCATGCTGCATGCTAGGCTAGGTATAATTTATTTCAAAAGGGCAACCTCGTGATAACATTGAACAAAATTTCATTTCAACTTTAACCCCATTACACTACCCTATCCTCCATGGGGGTTTACATCTTTACCTTCTCATTCTCCCTTTTCTAAAAGCGAAAGATTTGTATGAAACCAATGAAATCGCATTATCCTACAGCTTGAAATGAGAAATTCAGAACTCTAACAGCAAAAACAAGGGTCCATATCTCCATTGACATGGATAAATATACCGACAAATGAACAAGCAAAAGTTCAAATAGACAATACCCATGTTTTATTTTTAAAGGAAAAAGATTAATATAAAAAAGATCATTTCTGAATTGTGAGCATTGCATGAACTGACGAAGAATTAACAGATGTAAATCTGGTGTGATGCACTTCAGAAGCAAACAAATGACAACATACGTTTCAAATTTCAATTATCAGCATGGGAAAAGAATGCATGAAAAAGACAGCAGAAGTAATTCACACTCAAGTTTCCAAGTGGAAAAAGAAGTTCAATAACTAAATCGCAAGTAGTCATTGTTCCAACTACATGTTACAGAACAACTATGGCATGCAGATAGGCAAGTTAATATTTCCGTTTTTCCTCATCAGTAGTAAATGTAAAGGAGAGTGCATTTGTACAACTCACAAAAACATATTTCAGTTTAAAATTGGTGTTAAAAAGTCAACAAAATCAAACTACTACCTTCAAAAGTTGTAAAACAAATTCGACAGCTTCTCTAGGGCTTTTCTTGTCTGCTGCTCTGACCATGGCTATGGCATTTGGGATAGTCTGAACAGAAGACAAAAAATAGAATAATCAGACGCTTTCAGAAAAGGAAATTATGATATTAACTGTACTAAATAGAAAGGGAAGTGGTTAAATATTTATTTTAAAACGAACAAGGAGCGCTATCAGAATCATGACTTCCAAAACTAATTAGAGATTCTCACTTTTTAGTACAGATAAATCAATAACAATAACTGCCAGAATATATTCTAACCTCATAAAAACACTTCTAGATAAAATTCACCTGCTCAACCATAGTGCCATACATTCACATGAAAACAAATATATAGCTCAAGATATATAGAAGAGTCATTAAAATATTGGTGCCCCCAACCCCATCCAAACAAAAACAAAAAATTATTGCATGAAGTGCCCTCTTTTGTACTCATCTTGATATAGCAAGTTTACACTAGGAGACTCAAATTTCTAGTGTTTCTAACCCAAAAAATAAAAAATAAAAACAAAAAGAGTGGATTATGTAAGATTCATTTGTAAAAATCCCCTTATGCAAATGCACAACCACAACATGAGTTTAGAGAAAGATGAAATAAATAAAAACTAAAGGACATCGACAAGGAAGAAACAAGGAAAACAACTTTCAATATGGAAAATTCAGACAGGTGCTATAGCAACTAGTAGCACCTTTAAAAGACACGGTCCACCTTCAAAACTTCACATCTAGAGCAACTATCATTTTTTCAAGTAAAATAAAATTTAAAAAAAATATCCCTAGAAACTAACACAGGCCTTCTACCACATCCTCATTTCAGTACATAATATGCATTATCAATAACTCCATATTCTATAATTCTGGATTGCTTATCAGTGAAGCATATGCAGATGGAAAAGTTATATTGAATTGATTATATAGCCAAAAAAAAAAATTGTGACATGCCAATGGAGGAGAAAATATTGGATGTAACATTGATACCATGTGGCGGTATCACCATCCAATGAGCATTGTTGATTTGCAGTAGGGACCACAATGCAACTTTTTATTTGCAGATTCGTTGCAGAAGATTTATAAAAGCAATGAACCAGATTTCCAAGACCACCCATTAAGGTGGTTCATTTCTTCACCATCTCACTCCAGCAATACCTACCCTTCGCTTTGGTAACAAACCACCAAATCCAACAAGGCCCTTGGAGGCCAAGGCAATTTGTAAGGCTCATTTGTGACAAAGTTGAATCACCTCTCCAATGTATAATGGCATAACCGACAAATGGCACTCCGATAGAGATACAAATGAAATGTGCTAATCGTTATAAATCAATTGCTCAAAGCTAGGGAAATTTTCATTTCATTTGTCAAAATTTCCGAGCTAATAATGAGTCAACATCTCTGGAACTTTTTATTAAAATCATTTGTCAATTTAACATTTATTTAGAAAGCATCAGTGGTGAAAGTTACTCTACCTCCCTAGTTACCTTGTACTCATCAAGCATACTGTTTTTTCCCCTTTTGATAAGCAAAATATATTAAACTAACAAAAAAAGTGCCTTAAAGGGAAGAAGAGAACCCCGTATTTTTTTTCAAGCATACAATATTGATGGCACAAAGTAGTTATCCTCTTTTCTTTTCATTTTCTTGATTCTTTTGAGTAATGAATGGTTAATTTGGCAAAGTGCTTGCGAGATGGTCATGGTTAATTATTTTTAAACCAAATCTGAACAAAAGCATAAATGACACTACGCTAACCATCCATAAGTAGAAAATTCATTCACATTTCTGCAATCCTTCCATCAAGAATGAAAAATTTAAGACAAATTCAATTGTACATTAGCAAAGTTTAAATATAAAATCACATATTACACATTTTGGACTCAAATTTATATCAAATATTTGTACACTCATTGCATCCTGGAATATTAATATTAGATCTCCATACGTTGGTGGCATCCAAAGCTATAACTATCATGGTTTTAAAAAAATTTCATTATATTAGAGACCTAGTATCAGATCACATCATGGGAGGGTCAGGGGCTTAGGGTAATGAAGAAGAGCAACTCACCTCCCCACCCCAAAAGAGAAGAAAAATCCAACTGCTTTTTTCCATTTTTCTTTCAATTAGGGGGGAGGGGTGGTTGGCATGGAGGACCACTAATTCCTTGATGTGAAATTCAAAGAACCATAAAATCGTCAAACAAGATAAACCTAATCAGAAAATAATATAATGTGACCACATACAACATAATACACATCCTACCTCATTGCATTACCTCAAGTACAAAATACTCTGGGATATCATGAAAGTCATTTGCCCTGTAAAGTAAAGAATATCATAAAAATGATACAGTAAATTAGTCATTCCACAGAACCATCATCTAAATATAAATTACGAGTATCAAAAAGCTCACTTTGGGAGACCAATATTTGCATCAAATCTCCGACTTTTATAATATTTTATCAGATGAAGTAAGCCAGCCCAATCAGTTTCCTGGTATAAAAAACAGTTAAACATACAACTACATATAAAATAAGAATTAATTTGAAGCACACTGAAAAACATCTAGTGGGATTCCTGTTCAGATATGCAAAACCTTATATAATGTCAATAAAAAAGGACAGAAGGCTTTCATAATTTACACTTGCATAATTTTAATGTCGAGAAGTGCAGAGCATCTTGAATTCAGATAAGTGATAGACTGATCTCACTGACATAAATCTAAAGATGACCCTCCATGCATGTTGTCAATAAGTATTACATTAACAAGACATGGAATTTGACTTCTAAGTACCCACAATATTGCATGGGCATGCATAAATCAATGAAACTGGGAAGACAGAATGATATGTTTAGGCAACGACAGTTAACAAATATTTACACACAAGCATGCATACAACGCCACATCTATTAAATTGTTAAGCAACTATAATAGGATTCAAAATCCTAAACAAAGGCTCTGAGGACTTATGACAATCAAGAAGCCAGGTCTAAAGTATCATATGTCAATGGCAGCATTCATTTATGGTCCAAATTTTTATGTTTATTTGAGATAGTTAGCTGCTGATAGTTCTATTTATTTAACTTTTCCTATCTTTAAAAAGACCAGGATATTTAGTAAACTCCTGTTTTGTTGGAGATGGAGTAGTATGGTCCATATATTTTAATCTAAGTCGAGCTATGTTATTGGATAAACATGTCAATTTTGTTCAATCTACAATATTCTTGGTGGTCAAACTGTCAAAATTTCCAATGTTGAAGTCTTAATCCTCCTTGAACTAGTAATTGCACTTAAGTTTATATATTACGTATTTAAGTCTTTCTATAAAATGAGGTTGAGTATATGAGGATATGAGATTGTCCCCGTGTAGTCTGGTTAATCCTGATGAGATTGAACTCACCAGATAATGTTCTTCTTCATCTCCTTCTCTTCAACACACAAAATATTCCAAAGGACTTCGCAACCCAACAAGCCGTAACCAAATTTATATTTAACACCAAAATCTTCAAAAATAGTGTGTTTGGTTTGAGTTTTTTTGATTAAGTTTTTTGACAACTGAGTTTTTTGTTTTTTGTGTTTTTTTTGTTTTTAGTGAATATTTTTAAAATTTTAAGCTTTTTTTTTAAATTTTTTAGATGCACCTTACTTAGAAAAAGTAAAAATTTTGTGAAAAAATATTTTAAAAAATTAATAAATACATAAAAATACAAAAAAAAAAAATATACTGAATTATCATTTTTTAAAATTAATAAATACATAAAAATACAAAAAAATATATATATATACTGAATTATCAATTTTTTTTTGTATTTTTGGTATTTAGTGAATGTTTAAAAGATTTTTTTCATAAAAATTATACTTTTTATGTGTATTTATGTTAGGTGTGTCTAAAAATTTAAAAAAACTGCTTAAAATATATAAAAAAAAATCAGTAAAAACAAAAAAAAATACGAAAAGTAGAATTTTCTGAAAAGTGTTTTTAGAGAACCAAAAACAAGCAAAGTGAGTAGTTTTACAGAGAATTCCAGAAACAAAATGCTGAAAATTTGGCATATACTTGTCAAAAACAAAACTCCCAAGTACATTAATCAATCCAAATCCAACCCTTTTCAATCAATGCACATGTACGTATATGTACAATAGGAGCATTAATCCTAATTAAGAAATAATTCGGGACTTACCTTAATTAATAGTTAATCAAGGGTCTTATTGCAATTAAGAGTTAATTGTGATGAAGTCTATTTCTTGCAAGACAAGAAAGACAAATCCTTACAGAACATGTTTATGTAGTTCTATAAATAAGAAAATTTGCTTCGTGGGGATACTTTTAGAGACAGGACAATTCAATGGTTTTGAAATCGAGCGGACTTGAAGGATTATCAAGCATGGAATTAAATTTTGCATTTGAGGTATTTATTATATTTATCTCTATAGATGGTTGGTTAATGTTTTGTATACATCACAAACATGATAATGGGTATTACTATTAGGAATCAAATACAATTTTAAAATTCCATTGTGTATGTGATTTCTTTCAATTAAGTCCCACATTGCTTGGGTACAAATGGGATGTGTAGTGTATAAGAATGAGGGCACCCTCACTTTACAAGCACATTGGAGTTGAGTTCTACACAGCACCGTGTGGCGGACCTGGGTCTCCCTACTCACAAAAAGTAAGGGGACTTACATGTAGGTCCTTAAGGGTGGACTTATTGTCCAATAGGTCCTATAATAATTAATAGTGTTTTTTATCAAAAATTACTAAAAAAACGTCATTAACTATTAATTTTCAACAATAATTTGAAATTTTTGTCACAAAAAATCACTAATTATAAGTTTTAGCGACAGTTTAAAAAAATTGTCAAAAAAAAATATCATAAATTTTCAACTTTCAAACGTCATTAATTTTCAACTTTCAACGATAGTATGAAAAATTCATCACAGAAAAACATCACTAATTGTAAGTTTTAGTGAAAATTTATAAAAACAGAAAAAAAATAAAAATAATAAATAAATAAATCACTAATTGTCAATTTTTAGTGATGATTTTACTATGACTTATTTTCAATAGGACTTTATAGGAATTAAGTCCAACTATTAAGACCTATTGGAAGTTTACCCTCAAAAAGCATCAGTTGCCAGTCGCGTAGATGGAACAATGTCTGACAAATATTCACGAGTAATAACTCAATTCCAGGGGGTTCATAATCATAACAAACATTGCAGTTTAAAGACATTCTAGAAAAGATTTCAAATATGACTGTTATATGGTGTACGAATCCATAAAATAACATGGAAGAAGAAAAGCTTCTTATTGAAAATAATGGGTAAAACTAGAATTAAATTCAAACAATGGTTTGTTTGTTGGAAGCAAACGAAAAACATATAACTTCTGATGAAATCAGGAAATCTGATATTAAAAGATACATAATCTAGTGAAAGAAAAAGGACCATATTACCTCAGTTGCTGTATTAGCTAATGCAAATGCTGCCTCAATCCGGACTCTCCAGAAGGCCTTTTACACAAAAGAAGAAAATTCAAAATTGCAACTAGTAAAATCAAATGAATAAAAACAAGACTTCCTCAAAAAGGATTGTGTGAGAATGGGGAAGAGAGTGCAAAAAGGACAACCTTTGCGTCGCTAAGAAAATTATTCAGAGCATTAATAACAGAAAATGAAAGCTGCGGCAATCCCTCTAACATTGCAATTGCTTGTGCTTGAGCAACAACATCTTTGTCCTTCTCCAGTTGATTTACCTGATTAAGCATCGAGATGTAATCAATATAGCTAAAAAAACCAGGCAAATAAAGAACAAAGTTGTAATTTACTAAAGAATTATTTACACTAAGACCCCCAAAACTTTAAAAGCTTACAAATAGACCCCTTAAACTATTGAAAAATATAATTTTTCCCTCTAAACTATAAAAGCGAACAAATGTCCCTAAATTATAAAAATGTACAAATTGGACTGTTAACAGAAAGGGGTTCTAACACGCCAATAGCTTAGGGGATTTATTTGTATGTTTTTTATAGTTTAAGCGGCAAAGTGATACTTTTCAATAGTTTAAGGAGTCCATTTGTACGCTTTTAAAGTTTAGGGGGTTAAAGTAATACGTCTCAATAGTTTAGGGGATCTTTGTGTGAATAACCCTTTACTTAAAAAACAGCAGATGCATCTTAACAAGTATAACAGTAAGGAGACCAAACAATGAAATGTAGTTTGGTGCACTTCATGAAAGATAAGTATGCAATATATTATATACGTGTGTTGACGAAACTAACGCATCTGTTTAGCAGAGCCACCCAAAATGACATCCACATGGGTTCACATAGTTAATCAAGTGGCAGCATTTTTGTTATTTGGCATGACATTAAGGTACCCTAAACCCTTTTTTTTCTATGCTTGTTAGTTGTGCTCAGAAAAAGAAAAAAGAAAAAAAATTGCCTCACTTTTAAGTGGGTATTTTAGGCTATCCCAGTGGTGGTATGGAACTAAAATCAACTGCTAATAAAAGGTGAAAGAAGAACAAGAAGCAACATGCTGAACGTGAGATCTCCCTTAAGCAACCAAAGAAAAAAAAAGCATGCTCCTAATGAGCAAATGCAACACATAAAAGAATCGGCTGAATTTCACAAGAAGAGTACGCTAAACAAATCAAGAACCACAAATCTCTCAGGGAAAAAATCAAAAACTCCATTCATGCTCCTCAATTATTATAACAGCCACCTCATCTGCATAATACTAAAACTCAAAGAAGCTGTTGATTTTCTTCTTTTTTGCCATATATGAAAGTGATTACAAGATATCGCTTAAAAGGCTAAACAGGCAGTGCTAAATAAATCGACTACATCTGAATTTTCTGAATAATGATGCACCTTCAAAGATCTTCACTGCCTCATTCAATGTCTGACTCAATCCTTATATAATTTGATCTTTTAAGGAAAGGAGAAACAACTATGAAAAAGAGAATCAAATAGAAAAGACAACAGAGAGATGATGCGACGAGACAAAGGAGGAGAAGATTTAATGCAGAGAGAAGACAATGCCATATATATTATTCTCCACTTCACATGACATCAATGTGATCAGCTTGCTTGTACGTACTATACACTATAGTGGTTGTGACTGGACCATCCTCCCTAACTACACTCCAAGAAACTAAAAATACTGTAGTCATCCAATTCAAAACCAGTGCCTCGTCTCTATTACAATCCTTAACTGCTAAAAAATGTTCCTTTTCCATAAAAAGTCCTTCCAGCCTTCTTGTCTTCCTTTGTAATGAAAAGAAAAATCACTTCTCTAGACAAAACCTATCAACAATACTTCTAAAACATAAGGAATGATGAAGACATTGCCATTTAGAGAAAATGAACCATCAGAGATGGGTCAAAACCACACCTCCAGCATTTCATCCAAACAACTGTGTAGAGAGCCAGGGGGTTTTGGATCGTTAATTACACCACAAATTAATATTTTGCATATATATCTGTTGATGGGCTCTTCCCAAATAGTTATGATGAAAATGCTGTATGAAAGAATTCAGCCTTCACCAGCATTCTGTCAAAAGTCGCTTCAAGTGGTGCATCAACAGATGCATCCTTGGTAATCATGGTTATAGGGGACGTGGGTTCAGTGTTGCTGACTTCCTTATATATTGTTTTAAAAAGCTGAGACTACCTACCAGCATCGCGGTTCATGCACACGTGAAAAATGTGATTCATCAACAGACCATGAATTTTCTCACGACCCCTGGAAATTTTCTCAGCTGTTTGTTGAGACTACTGGAATTGTGGAAGAGAAACATTATTCTGGTTACTATGTAGTTTAGTAAATGAGAATAGCAATTTCTTGGCAGACAGATGGTTGCCACACAAGATTCATCTACAGAAGACCATAATCCATTGAACAGGCAGACAAAAGCCAGACTTCCTCAACACGAAATATATATGTAGTAATAGTCTCAAAATAGAAATCATATAAACTAAAATACAAGCAGAATCAGCAGATCAATTAATATCATGACTGCAACTATCAAGCATCTAAAAGTTTGTAAAGGAGAAGTGAAGTATTAACAGATAAATACAAATTTGTATTAGGATTGTTATGGAGATAATTGTTGGTCAAATGTATACTACCCATGCACTGCAACTGATGTACCCATTGAAACCTTTTTATGCACAAGCAAGCACAATAAGATCCAGCAACAAATCACCAGAAGCTCATACGTACCCACATCTGTACTGGTTGATTGAAATTAATTTCAGCAAGATACTCCAATTCTGGGTCTGCCCTTAGCCATAGCAGGGGGGAATCAACACTGCAAAACATGTTCACACTCCAGTTATATCCACTCTTAAATATACAAATGTCACAAAAGGGCATTAATCAATACATACTTGGATCGTGTGTCAAGGGTAGATACAGCATCACCATTATCATCGGAGCCATCTGGTTTGGAACCCTTTTTAGGCTTTTGAAAGCGTTTAGCAGCAAGTTTTGAATGGCACTGAATCTCTAGCAGCTGCCAAGTTTCTCCAGCCATTGGTAAAATGGGATGGTCATACATGCCATCAAGTTCATGAACCCTTATGCTCATCATTCCGGGCCAGCCAACATCACCTTCTCGGTTTTCCGAGTCAGCGTTACCATTAGCAACTGCTGCAATTGAGTCTGATGTTGCTGTGCATCCCTGCATGACGGCCAGTTCGACCATGTTTTTCCGTTTGTTATAGGAAAATCCCATCCTTCATAGCATGCAAAAGAACGGTATCAACTTAGAAGATAAAATCAGAATAAGATGCCAGCTAGTTTGAGGCACGAAAACAGCACAATGCAACCACACAAATCATACCTCAGCACCGGACACCCACAAGATCCCACCCAGCGATGAAAAAATTCTTTAAGAAAAGGGCGCTCAAGATTTCCAAATTTGTTGGCAAAATGCCGAAACTGCATTTTTACGATTCAAAGATAAACAAGTGAACCTTTAAATCTCAAAATCAACTGACAAAGAACCCAACAAATTGCAAAACACATACAACACATATCTAAGAAAGAATACTGTAATGTCTGTGAGAACTATAACAGAAAGAACCAACTATTAGAGGATTTCAGATTACAAACTAAGGCCTCGTTTGGAAACAGACTATTTTAGTAACTTTTTGGCTTTTTGGTTAAAATATGATGTAAAAAAAAAAAACTCATATGTTTGGAATGACTTTATGATTTTTTTACGAAAAGATGTGCAAAAAGTAGAGAGAAAATAGAATCTTTGAGTTTTTTGTATATGTTGTTGGCTTTTTGGTTTTTTTTAGAGACTCTTTGGCTTTTTGGCTAAAATCACCATTTGCCAAACGAGGCCTAAGAAATACATGAAAGAAAAGGAGTTTATATATTCCTGGCTGCACATGCAACTAGCCAGCCATATTGAAGACATATCCTAAGCAGCACAAACACTTCCAAGAAGGTAACGTGTCGTGTCCGACACTGACACTAACACTGACACGACTCGACACTCACTGGACACTTCCCAACACTTGATAAACACATTACAAATTTGAATAAAATATCTTGAAATCCGATGATAAAACAAAAAAAATGTAAATTTATACCTATTCTCCTCCTTTAGGCTTTAAAGATTATTATTTTTTACTCAAGTAGTCATATTTATGACATAATAATTATTTATCTTTACATATGACATAAACAAAATATATACAATTATATCTTTTGCATGTGTCCCAAGCATGTCGCGTCTTGCATTTTTTGAAAATTTGTGTCGGAGCGTCAGTGTCATGTCACGTTTCCATGTCCTTGCTTCTTAGACATCTCTTCTTAGATCTGTTGCAACTCAAGGACATGGCCAGTACAGTTTCTCTTGGTTTCTGTTTGTTTTCATTCCTGTCTTTCCCAGAAACTCTCCCAAATATTCATTTCATCACTCAATAAAAGGAAAAGAAGGGAGCGGGGAACAGTGCGATGTAAATTGTAAATAATCACCTCCTTTGTACTAAGAGTTCTCAAAGGACGAGTTGTTTCTTGAGCCCGAGAAACAATTATCTGCAAAATCTGCATGTGAAAAACCCAAACAAGAGCACATTTTTTTAAGCCAAGTAGAACATTATTGCCATGAAAGCTATGAAAAGGTGAATGTTTGAAATTTAAATAAGCAGGGTGAGACAATGGATTAGTTAAACCAACATGCAATACAATACCTTTTAAAAAAAAAAAAAAAACTCCTTCCTCAACCCTAGAAAATTAGCAAACATGGTACAGTACAAAACGGATGGACTCTTACTTTACGGAAAGACTCAGGTCCCATCTGCTTTTCCAACATTTGAAGGACTGCCACCTGTTATGCACGAAACCGTCAAAAAAGAAGGCAATCAGGAAAAAAAAAAAAAGAAAAAGAAAAAAACAAAAGGCAACTTACAGACTTCCAGGACCGTATTTTTCCATATAAACCAATGCACTGGGTTCCATACAAATCCTTAGAAGAAGCAGAGGAGCTTAAAGCAGTTGCACCACTGTCATCAGCTTTGCAAACAGCACAATTTGCCTGCACTTCAGAAAAAAAACCCACTAGTTAATCTGTTTCTGAATGTACAAAAAAAAACCTCCATGAGCATCCATGTTAACTAGTTTATCTTTCAGAAATGGTTTTCGACATTTACATGTTTGGAAAAATGAGGGGGAAATTAAAACCACAGCACTCACTCACATGTGGGCTATGAAGCATGGACACGGCAAACTCAGTGCCGAAGCGGTGTTGGAAACAGGGACATGGGCACACACCATGGACACGTACGCGACACGCCATTTGGCATATCCCCCTTTTTTTTTCTTTTTTTTTTGGGGGGGGGTTGGGTTACGGGACACAGCAAGGGACATCGAAGAGAAGAAAGAGATAAGAGTGACCTGGTATCTGCCCTAACCAGACGAGACAACAAACTCAATGACCTTCGAAGCTCGATGACCTTCAACACCTTCTCTCTCTCTCAATTCGCCTGTTTCACTCCTCTCTCTCTTCGAGCTCTATTACATATATATACATATATACTCTAGAATATTATATAGATATATGTGTGTATATACATTCTTTTATTTATGTTTTATAAATTATACTTATATATGTATATATATATGTTTTTATTTATATTATATATATATATTGCCTTTAGAAATTATATATATGTTTTAATTTATATATTATCTATTGCCGTTATAAATTTGTGTGAATTTATTTATATATTATATTTATTGAATTAATGTTACTATGCTAGTTTTGTTAACAAATAAAAATATATATTAAAAAAATTTGCCGTGTCCCCCACCATGTCCATGTCCCCATTTTTTGGAAATGCTATGTCGCATGTCCGTACCCGTGTCCGTGCTTCATAGAATGTGGGGCCCACAAATGTGAGAGTGAGGGATTTGGAAACAGCCACTAAGGCTGTTGATTTAGTAATTAAAAAAATAATTGGCCACAATTTTAAAATCAAATAGAGGGTGTTGACAATCAAATATTAGGCAGGGGAAGATCCAAATAAGAAAGCACTTTAGAAGATCCAAATCATAATGGACTCAACTTCTGGATGCACTTTAGAAGGATTATGATCCGCTGCTTATTATCTGATGTACATTAGTCATTTAAAAAGAAAGCACTTAAAATATGCAGCAGCCAAATAATCAGACCTTGTATCGCCGATAGCGTGCTTCATTGTTACCAAGAAATCGCTTAACAAATGAGTCAGTCAGAAACCCAGCAAGACCATCTAATAACCAATCTACCAATAATCATTAAGAATTTATGTTAGCACAAATGGATTTACCACTATTAAAACAGAACACTCTAAATATATTAGATCTCAAAGAAATAGCACAATTGTCTTTTAGCATCTTACCATCATTTGGCGACTCAGCAGAGATATATACACCGAACCACTGCCTTGCAAGGGCAAAGGCGAGTTTAATCCTGGTCTCTATGGTCTGTTACAACATTCAAAACTCATCAGCACTAATGTTTGGAAAACAAGTGAAATATGATGAATATCTTTCTGCCACATTTGAATTCACTGACCAAGGTGGCCACTGATATAAAACATAGCTCACTATGAATATTGCACAGGAGGGAGATTATGAGATAAACTCATTTCCAAAATCGAGATATGTGTGTCATCGGCTTCTGATGGTCATAGCATCTCTCTTTCATAAATGGAAAATGGGCATTTTATTTTAATGATACACCCAATGGTACCATATTTATCCTGGCAAAAAATACTGTTGACTTGCTAGCTTCCCATCAGTGGATCTCAATTCATCTGTACTGTTGGCTTATTTTAACAACACCCCCACTTGTAACATTCCTAGGAACCTCTCCAAGGCAAAAGGCCATTTGGACATACATGTGCAGAGGAAACCCCAATACCTACAAATCTCTCTTCCCCCAAGGCACATTCGGTGATTCAATCAACCCGAAATGGTGTGCCAAACAGACGCATGTATAATGACCGAGGCAGAATACTATATTTTGACAAGTTCTACCTAAAGCAGGCCATTAGTGTATTTTGGTGTATATAAACCTTCAGAGGCAAAACAACATCAAATTAAGTGCAAAGTAATCATAAACACAATCTGCCACTGATTAACCAATTACATTTACTTTACAAGTATACCTGATCAATAACCTTCTCGTCATATAGAACTTGAGAACTGAAAATGGTCATGGAGGCTCCCAAACTCATTGATGATATTGCCATCTCAGGAGCAATAAACACTTGTGTATATGAACCAAATGGAAATGATGCAGAAAGGTACTCTTCATAATGGCTGTTAATAAGTAGAAGAGACAGCAACTTAAGGAAGCAGTTATCAAATTAATTTGCAGAAGGTAACAAATATAGAAGTTGAAAACAGTCCTCTAAAGGAAACGGAACCAAATGCCAATCAATAAAAATAAATAACTATCAAAAATACCTGAATGCACTATGAAAAAATCCCACAGTATTTTGCAACTTTGACACGTGAGCTGGCAAACACATGTATGACAGAAGACCGCTATGGCGATCAGGAAAGATTTCAAATGGTGCAACTGCCAGAGAAATCCACTGAGCAGCAACTGGAACATTTAGTCTATAAACGAATGTTTTACGGGGTGGACCATCCGTGCTCAAAACCTGTAAAACCAACAAACACATAAGATAACACAAAATAATGATACGTTGCTACCTATGGTGCACGCTAATACAACATTGTTTCAGTAGATAAACCATTATTAAGAAACGCGTACACAAAACATCAATGGAAAGTACAATAAGACATACTAATTTGTCATGTTACAACATTTAATATAAGCAAAATTCAGTTCAGAAGAACAAAAAGGAAAAGGTGAAACGGAAAAACATAATTCATGCTTCAATTCTTTTAAACTACTGCATAATGAAGGTAAATGTGTCAGCATTATGGAAGTGTAAAAGGAGAGCAAAATTCAACTCAATTCCAAAAGATTCCCATGCAATACTAACATTGTGTTTGGATCTAGGATCTGAGCAGGGATCTATGAAGGGAAAGGAAAAGGAAATAGAAGTTTCATGAAAATTTAACTTCTATCTCATTCACTTTTTCCTTACTTTTTCCCCACGCCAAATCCTTGATCCAAACACAGCCAAAGGCTTAATGACCAAATGTCTAGCTTTCTGAATAATAGAATTACAAATTCCATGCAGAAACATTACATATGGCATGGCTTCACAAAGATATATCAATAACACTAATGTTATTTGATAGTTTAGGACACATCTAGTTCAACCGAATCCAGAAAGCCTCAGAAACGAGAAACACGATGTAAGACAAGCTTCAGGATACTTGAAATAATGCTGCATATATGCCAAATCTGAGCCACATTTTCCTCAAGCAACATTTATCCCCAAACATGTAGCTAGATGACATGGACTATCGGATCCTCTTCCCAGAAAAACCAAAGAACTCCAAAATGCCAAAAAACGATAATATCCCAGGCTCCCAACCATTTGGAGCGGCCTAAAAATTTTTATCCATTTCTTCCTTAGACAACCCTACTCTCTATATTATCAGACCCTGCAATAGCTATTTGACAAGAAGATAAGAAATCCTCAGTGACTGGTGAGGTCATTACTCCTTTTGAACTAATGCTTCCCATAAAAATAGAAGTAAAAATGACTAACATCCTAGGTCTACCACCAAGTTTTTTAAACACATCTGAAATTGTGTCTCCTAACCAGGGAAAAATTAAAGAAAAGTATACTAGGAAAAAAAATTTGGATAAAAACCAACATTTTCTCAAACATAACTATGCTCCTATTAGCTTATGAATAGACAAATTCTTTTGACTATCTCATAATTTCGTAAGTAAGAAATATTAATGACAGGCAAGCTACAAAGTAGAAACACTTTAAGGCCATGTTTATTTGAATCCAGATCCTCTAGACTGATTTTTAGGAGAGTGATCTTAGAGTATTTTTTGAATGGCAGAGATTTAATTTTACAGAAGTTGAAAGTATAATAGTACTAAGTTGAGGGTACAATAGTATTTGATAATCACTTTCAAAAAAAATTCAACCATACAAAAAATCATTATAAGATCACTGGTATGAAAAATCATGGATCTGGACTCTGTTTATTTGGCCTCTTAGAAGAGGGGATTGGATTAACAATTCATGGGGGCCATCAAAACCATGTTTAGTTGTGTTAAAATGCTATGGGACTACCAATCTCCCCAAGGGTGGGCTTGGCATTACCTGTTGGGGAGTTGGGATTGTTAATCCAATGCCCTTGGATTGAAGGTGAAAGACCATTTTGCCCTCTTTTCACAAAAAACAACAAAGTAACCTTTATATAATGAGAACTTTTAAGTAATTTTATAGATTTAATCCCAACAACTAATACCACCACACTAGTACACATACAAACACGCTTTATCTTACATCCCTAACTTAATACCACACTAGCAATCTCATCACTCAATCCCACCGTACTCATAATCCCACCCAAACTAATCTTCCAAACAAATATGGCCTAAGGGTGTCGTGTCCATACAGGAAACCAACACTCATCAGACACTCCCCGACATGTGTTGAACACACCTCCAGCGTGCGGACACACTTCGGAATCTTGGCGGACACACATGTCCATACCCAAACACATATAAAATTCAAAACAAGTTTGAAGGGAAGAAATTTAGGATCAAATTGTAAGATAAAAACAAGGTATATACCAATAAATCCCTACTCTTTTAGATTTTGGACATTTAGGACTTGGACCATGGCTACTGAGAAATTACTCAAGTGATAACAAGTTCATGCATAATTTTCACAAGAGAGATACCACAAAAAAAAAGTCCTGTAGCTCTTCTTTTTTTTTTCTTCTTTCTTCTTCCATTGAAGTAGAAATGTCCAGTCCAGAGCCTCTCAAATATAAATTCCTCTCAAAACAATATATTTGAAGGCCAGAAAGTCAATTTTCTTTGAACTATGATTCCATCAAATAATTGATTCCAATCCATGTGCTGTCATGCAAAATATTGCTTTTACTTTTAACTGACACCACATAAAAAAGATGTTACATGATTTCTCACTGTGCATACACAAAGAATGATATTTATTATCCCACCTTGCATACAGAATACTGCCACTACATTTAATCTCACCTGACAAAGTAAGTTACCAGTACTGACTGCCACAAAATTGTTGGCAACTGTAAACTCCATATCATAGCTGGACAACAGGAAGATAAATCACATTAAAACATGAACAAAACTACTACTCTAAAATAACAGCTAATTATCATGGTTCATACCAGCAACGCTGAGAACTGTCATCCATACAAGGGAACCAACATCGTGCACGCCTTATCTGATTATCAGTGTGTAGAACATCATTGTCAAAATGAATTCCTGTTTCAGCTCTCTCTACCCAATAGTCAACTCGAACCAGTTTCACATTCTGCACCCAACATAACCTACATGAGAAACCAAGGCGTGTAAACTTCATCACCACAAATTTATGAAGTAGAAAAAACTGATTGAGGCTCAGTACAAGATGCAGTTCCTAAACCCGTTGAATAATTAATACAAAGATTAAGAAGGGATCATCCAAGTATAGCCTTGGAGGCATATCATCTTCTTTTTCTTTTTCTTTTCCTTTTGATGGATGAGGCTTCAATTTTGGTACAGAGTTCTGGATTTTCTGTTCTCTATGGGTGTGGTCCCCATGTTTTCATTTTTTAACAGCAGATTTGCATGAAAATAGTTTCATTTGGATCATGTTCAGTTTCAAGCAACATATCTGAAGAATCTACAAATTTTTCACTCAAAACCAGTATAAACATTAGCCATACAAGTTAAACAGTAATGGAAAAGGAACTTCACATGTGTATTTGGGAATGTCAGTCTGCATAAGCACTAAAGAAATGTTGTGTGTGTGTGTGTGTGTGAGACAGAGACAGAGACAGAGAGACAGATATAGAGACACAGAAGAGGATTCAATATCAGTATACACAATTTCACAACAACAACAAAATTCCACCATTACATACGAATGAAATTGAACAAAAGACATTGTATAATCCACATATATTGAGCCAAATGATGCCAAATAAAGCCATCATTTAAAGACTATCATAGAACTGCAAGGATTACTAAAAACAACGGTAACCTGATTGGGTTCTTCTGAGGAATTCTGTTGCTCTGGCTGTTCACTTGCTGACTTGACAGACTTGGAGCACATGATCAGCAAATTTGGAACCATTTCCCTTTCAAGAGATGACAAATAAACCGATCCTGCAGCATCAGCAGCAGAAATAGCTGAAGACACTGCACACCATCTATTTTCACTATCTAAATGCAAACAATGTGGGAAAACTTCAAAGTCTGCAGGCTCTCCGTCGACCATAACACTATCAATCGCCAAATTATCCGCATGTAGCCCTACAACCCCGTTATCTGGTACCGCTATTTCAAGCTCAGTGTAACTAAAAAATCCAAAAAAAAAAAAACAAATAAACACCCCGTCAATCCAAAGCTAAAACTACAAACGAAATCGCAAAGTATAAAAATTTTAACCTAATCCAAACTTCAACAACACAATTAATTCTCAATTTTTCCATTATTGAACAATTATAAAGTCTCCGAGCTGCTGAGCTGACTTAACCAATTGCCCATATATATAGAGAGCTTGAATTTGCAAGAAATGATAAAAGTGTGTATATATATATAGATAGAAAGCTAGGGCTAGGGGAAGAACCAACAAGTATTCACTGGCTCCGAATTAAAAATGAGGGCTTTAACGAAAAAACGAAAGAAACTTCCGAATTGATTTGAAAAACACATAAGCGAATAGAAATTGAGACAGAGAAACCTCTGGAAAAGCAAAAAACAACAAATCATCAAGCAGCAATGCAAATTCAGATAGAAACTTGATTCTGAATCAGTGCAAGACTATCAGTAACAAAAACAAACACACACATATGATGTGTAGATATATATATATATATAGAGAGAGAGAGAGAGAAGGAGTTGCAAAGGTCACAAAAAGGAATGAGAGGTAAAATGTAGCTCCATTTCGATTGAGAGACAGAGCTTCTGGTGACGAACCACTGCTTCTGAATTGTCTGCTTTCTGGTCTTCGTTCTTCGGCTTTCGAGGCTTCGCCATTTCTATAAACAACCAAAGCTCTCTCTCTCTCCCTCACACAAGGGAGAGAGGGCTCTGATTTATAGAGATCGAAGGGGGGTGAGAAGAGGACTCCAATCTCTGCTTTAGGTCACTTTTGGTCGCGACGTGCCCTGGCGTTGTTGGTTTGATATCAACCGTACACGTGTGGGGGTTTCTGATCTGACAGTGGATGGGTGCTTGGTTGAGTTTATTTGGATCTTTGTCCGATTGGTGTGTTATGTGAAGCTGTGATGCTATCAGACATCAGCAGTTCTAGAATCAGATCAAAGCCAGGCTCACAGGTGATGTTTGCTATTAATTTGATATTTTGCTAAATAATTAAAATATAGATTAATTATTTTAAATTTGATTATTAATTAAGATAGGATATATAATCCAACAGATTCGTAGTCCTAAGACTATTAGTCATGGGAATGCTAATCCAGTCCGCCCAAACAAACATGGTCATAAAGTTTTTAACTTTTTTTTTAGCCAAAAAAATTAATTTTTTTATCTATTTTTTTTTTGGGTGAAGTGAAAAAAAATAAAATAAAATAAAAAATAATAGGTGACACTCCAAAATTAAGACTCATATAATATTTTGAAAATATTGTAATAATTTCAAGATTTTTGACTCTTCAAATTTTGCAAATCTTCCACGCAAAATCCGCTTTGAAGAATCAGCCTCTAAGCGTCAATATCAATAATTGGCAGTCTAACAAAAGAAGACAAAATCCGTAGAAGATAAGGCTTCCCTTCAGATATCAGAGAAATGCGCGCCAAAATATTCTGTAGATTTTTTTTTTGTCTGTAATTATTTGTTTTTGTCGGTAATAAGGATTTTTCTTCACTCACTACTTTAATAGAGCAGATGACCTCCACCCTGCTCCATTAAAGAAAAGCTGTGAGAATCCTTATACGTGTCCTGTAATCAATTATAGTGTCAAAATATTATCAAAAAATGAGAATTGAATGATATGCGATGGAGCCCAAAGCAGTACCCGATATCATTATTCTAATCTTTATTGATAGAATTTTATCTATATCTAGATTAGTGATTTGAGTAGTCAAAATCCATAGAAAATCATGTAAAGTCTAGAAAAGTCTATGGCTTTGGCTTAGTAACCTTTGAACTTTTGAATCTAAAACTTTTGACGTAGCGATATTTCTTTTTGGCTTGTATGTATCAACCATGTGTATAAATTGGCATTCATGCCAACGGAAGAAGCAGAATGAAAAATACCCCTTCACTCTACATTGTAAAAATTTCCAACCCCTCTAAAAAAACCTCTAAGTGTATTAAGTTTTTCAGAGTTTCAAAATCTGTAATATAATCTTTGCAAGTATATTTCTTATTAATATGAAGTGTGAGTAGTTTCTCTTTTTTCTTAAATATTTCAAAAGGGTAACTCTTCTATTTTAAAAATTTATTTTCTTTTTGGAAAAACTAAGTTTATGGAATACTTGTTTGCTCATTATTATTACATACTTTGAACCTTCGTAGTATCTATTGTTTTCTAATTTGTTTACTGAGTGACCTTAGGTAAAGAGCCCGTGTGAGCCGTGGTTAGGCGTTGGAGGGCAAATTGTAGGCAGAAAAGGAAAGGTAAAAATTAGAAAATAAAAATATACTATGTTGAACGAGACTTAGTTTCAAGGTGGGAGTACATGTAATGAAAATAAACATTGCCTAAAAATAGTTTTTGGCAAAGAAAAAGAATTTTAGAATAAAAGGAGAGCAACCCGAGTAGAAATATTAAGGAAATATTGTCCATAAAAGAAATTTAAAAAATCAAAACTTTATGCTCTTAGAAGAAAAACTTATGATTAAAATCAAAATTAGTACTGAACTTATACAATAATTAGAAGATCAAATATCAAGATATCAGTTTCTTTTATCATTAGCTTCTGGAAGATCTTTAGAGAATTACAGTTTAAAAACTTTCTCAGATAAATAAACAGCTAACTGTAAAACAAAAAGCCTTAAAACTAGCCATACAATAGCTTGAAGACCTATTAGCATAACTGTAGAATTAATTAGATAATTCTCAGCCCAATTTCAAAATAGTGGTAGACCAAAAATTGGTATCAGAGCAGTGTTTGGTTTTAGGACAGTTTAAGTTAGTTTATGCATTTTGCTTATGGTAATAGAGTAGTTTTTATTTTTGAAAATTTTAGTTATAAATTTCATATTATAGTAGCTTGTAATAATTTTAAAGTAGGAGTTAATTATCTGTATGAAAAAAGTAGAGTATCCAGATTTAGAACTCAGCAGTCATAACCATCGTCTCAGCATAGATAAAAACAAATTTCGTTGTAATTTCGAAAACACTTGTACACATCAGCTTCATAGTGAACGTAATCCTCAGCTAAATAGCATCATAGATTACCATATTAATTTTGCAAAAAATATTAAAAAGGACATAGATAAAATTAGTAATCTTTTTATTTTATTCATAGATCATCTTCGTAATAATCGTAGCATAATCAAAAATCAAGATAAAAAATTAGATTATATCCAAGACCAGTGTAGTTCAATTTTACAAAAAAGAATATATTTAAATTTAGAAAAATTTCCCACTAAATTAGAAATAGAAACTCTAATTTCAGCGACAAATAATAGCATCTCAAAACAAATAGAGTTAGAATTTAAACAATTAATTGAAAAAATCCATAGTCAGATAAATCAAATAGCTAAACAAATAGAACAAATTAATCAAATTCAAGATAATTTAAAACAGAAATTAGAAATTTTAGAACAACTTGTAAGATCTTAGTTTATGAGTAATGATTAAAAAAAAAGCTAATAGAGACTACCAGATTATTTTAAAACAAGCAGAAGATTTTCATAACAACCCAGAATGAATCAGTAGCTATCAAGGAATAAATCAGTCAGATAAAATATCAGTAAGACAAAATAATATAGAAATTTTATTTCTTATTAGATTGTGTGAAAAATTTGAATATTTATCAAAACAACTACATAGCTTAGAAAATCGTTTAGCTTCTTTAGAAAAAATAATACTTCAAAAAGGAAAAGGGGTAGAAGAACAAACGAATGGACCCCAAGCTCAGGTAAACGAAGAAGATATAGCTAGATATTTTGAAAAGCTTAAATTACCAAGAAAATCCACCTGTAGAATTTACAGAAAATAAAAATGTTTAAACAGCTAATAAAATGAAGTAGTGGTAAAAAGCGTAATGAAGATGAAGATGTTAAAATGGAAGAATTGATAGATGTAGAACAACAAATAGAAAAATTTAAGAAAGATAAATTAGAATTAATTCCAGCTAAATATATATATATATATATATATATATATAAGCTAGGTAAGATTCACAAAAAACAATATCTATTTAAACACTATGGTGAGCAGATGATTAGTGTAACCCAAGAAGATGAGAAAATAGAGCTAAATTTGATAAATAGAGAAAGCTATAAATATGTAGTAAAAGAACACCTTAAAATGACTCATTTAGGATTAGTTGTGGTAGGAATTAAAGCTTTAACCAAAGAAAATTTAGGAACTAAAGTCTTTGTATATCTTTATGATGATAGATTTAATGATGTAGGACAGAGTATTTTAGGCAGCTATGAATTAGATATGAATTCAAAAGAAGGTATAGTTTATTTTACACCAGATTTCTTACTACCGACCTCGACCTTTCATAAAAAGAAAAAAATAGGAATAAAGAGTAGATGATACAATATGAAAAAGGGAGAAAAGAATTTATTAGTTTGCACAGGATTTTTAGGCTTAGCAGTTTTAGCAAGTAATACCCACTATAGACTTACAAATGATCAGATAATTAAGTTATTAGGCGCAAAAGGAATAAAGGCGCTACCAGCTAAAAAATTTAATTCTGAAGATAATGCAGCATTAGATTGGAAACTATGAGATTTTCTAGGACAAAAGAGATTAGCCCCTCAAGATAATTTACTATATCAAACAGCAGATGGAAATTATGCAGTAAGATTTACTCAGTATACCTATGTAGCACCATAAAAGTCTGAAGATGATGAATTTAGCAGTATAGATAGGGAAGAAAATCAAGATAATCGTAGTGAAATAAATATATTTTATGTAATGACAGAAGAAAAAATGGTGTCACAAAATAAGATATATAATATTGATGAGATAGATTTAGAAAATTTACCCTAGAAGACATGAATAAAATACTAGATGTTAGATATTATGAATACTTAGCTAGAGGAGATACCCATGATGAAGCAGGGTCATTTTTTGATCAGAAATTTCATACAGAATATGTAGATGATATCATAGAAGATAATATACATCCTAGCAAAATATTTAGAATACTAGAACAATCTAACCTAGAAGATACTTTTTACATGAATATAAAAAGCTCAGGAACTAATAACCCACAACCAACTGTAGAAGATCCCATAGAACCAATGCATTATGCAGTAGGAAGAAGAAGACCATTAGCTAGTTCAGGACGTAGTCACGCAGATCCAAACAAAAACTATAAGTTTCATGGAAAGCGTAGACAACTAGATATGAGTATACAATTACAACCAGTCAATAATCAAGGAACCCTTTTAGATGTAGCCAGATTCGACCCTCAGATATGGCAGGAAGTAATAGAAAGATGGGAAAAAGATGCAGTAAAAACATGGATGTGTAGACACCCCATTTTTGACCGACCTTAAGACTCAGACGTCACCGATTGAGCGCTTGGTGATGTCGTATATGGTGCTCGTTATGAGGTTTCAGAGTCTCGGCTGCGAGCCTTGCCTCCGGACTTCGGGGCTCTTTCGTGTTTTGCCTCGGTTTGCGAACCAGGTCCCGTTTTCTTCGTTTTCTCTTTCCAATGAGAGGGAGAGGTCTCATAGACCATCTTTCAGTGGCCGTAGGCTACGTTTCGTGGTCGTAGGTCATTTTTCCCGTTTGGAGTCCGGTTTCTAGTTTTTCAGAGCCGTCGGCCGTGTGCCTCGGTTCGGGACCGCTTAACCACCTCCGTTTGCTCCGGTTTTTGGCATACATCTTATTTCCTCCCTTTTGAGGAACGCTGTGGCCCGAGAGACCAACTTCGTGGTCGAACGCCACCTCCGGTGCTTAACAGCCCATTTTCGGGGCCCCAGACCGCGCGTTTCGGTCCC